TGTGGCTCAAGTGGTAGAGCGCTCGCCTTGAGCTGAAGAGCTGAGGGACAGCGCCCAGACCCTGAGTTCAAGCTCTACAACTGACCAAAAAAAAAAAAAAAAGTCTTTCTAGAAAGTCTGATGGTCCCAACCACCTTCCCTAAGATCTACAGATAATCACACCATGTGGACCCATTTTCTTTCCCATTAACTCGCTCCTAGGCCAGGCTAGGCTAGGTACCTTAACACCAATGAGGTCACTTACCTTTTCCAATAAATTTTTAGGCTTTTTGTTTTGGGTGCCAGTATTGGGGCTGGAACTCAGGGTCTAGGTGCTATCCCTGAGCTTTTTTTTTGGCTCAAGGCTGGTGCTCTACCCCTTTGAGCTTCAGCCAACCCCAAGCACTAAAGTCTTTGAGACTCTTTTCTTAGGGGAGGAGGGTGGTGGGCAATCCTGGGGCTTGAATTCAGTGTCTGGGCACTGGTAGCCCCAAGCTTTCTTGCTCAAGGTTAGTGTGCTTGAGCCACACAGCTCCCTTTCCAACTTGTTTTTGAGTAATTTATTGGAGAAATGAGTCTCACAGACTTTTCTACCTGGACTGGCTTTGAACTTCAATCTTTAGATCTCAGCCTTCTGAGTAGTGAGGATTGCAGGCATAAGCTACCAGCACCTGACTTGTCATGAGACTCATCTCTGATGAAGTGTTAGAGCTGGAAAAAGCCAAGAGAGGGTGCTCTACTTCTGGCTTTTTATTGGTTAAATTGAAGAGTCTCATGAACTTTCCTGGCCAGGCTGGCTTTGAAACGTGATTCTCACTCACATCTCAGCCTCCTAGGTAGCTAGGATATAACTGTGAGTCATTGGCACCAGGCCATCTGCTTGACTTTTTTTTCCCCCCAAGGTTGGTGCTCTACTGGTTAATTGGAGCTAATAGTCATGGACTATTCTGCCCTCACTGAATTTGAACCCTGCCCAGCCTCCTGAGTAGCTAGGATTACAGGTGCTAACCATCAGTGCCCAGCCAACTTGATATAATGACAGAGTGGAGGCATTAATAACTCACCCCAAGTTAGATCGAGGTCCTAAAACTCTTTCAAGCTTCTCCTTATTTGAGTCTCCCTTTCAGGGCTAAGTCTCCTCCAGCTCCCTCAGCTGTGCCTGGAATAATTATTTTTTATTTTATTTTTTGGTCAGTCATGGGGCCTGAACTCTGGGCCTGGGTGCTGTCCCTCAGCTCTTCAGCTCAAGGCTAGCGCTCTACCACTTGAGCCACAGCACCACTTCCGGCTTTTTTCTTTTTGCTTATGTGGTGCTAAGGAATCGAACCCAGGGCCTCAGGCATGCAAGGCAAGCGCTCTACCACTGAGCCACCTTCCCAGCCCCTCATTATTCTTCTTGCAGGTTTCCAATATGCTGCCTGCCATAATGGGTCCCTTAGTCATGGGCTCCCACCTGTCCTCCATCACTGTGTGGTTTTCCTTGGCCATAATCAACACTATCATCTCCCATTGTGGCTACCACCTGCCCTTCCTGCCTTCCCCTGAATTCCACGACTACCACCATCTCAAGTAAGCCCTGCCCCCACCCAAATATATGTGTGTGTGTGTGTGCATGCCAGTACTGGGGGTTGAATTCAGGGGCTTCATGTTCTCCTATGGCTTTTTCACTCAAGGCTTAGCCTCTAGCACTTGTGATATACCTCTATTTCCAACTTTTTTGGGGGCTAATTAATTGTAAAAATGTATATCTCAGATCTGTCTGCCCAGGCAGGCTTCAAACCATGATCCTCAGATCTCAGCCCATGAGCCGTCAGCATCCAGCTAAAGCTGATTTTTCAATTGTGGTCTATGAATTTCCTAGCTAAGTCTCTGCAGAGCCTTATCCAAAATGCAGGCTTTTGAGTTCCATTCCAAATATGCTGAATTGAAGTAGCTGTGAGAGCAAAGCCTGGAAATCTGTATTTCCATGTGTGCCAAGGTGTTTGATACAAGTGGGGGTCCTTGAACCATCTCTAAGCAAGCCTAGTTCTGTCAGAGGTTCTCAAACTTACAAGCATCAGAATCACAATTGATTCTACCAGTCTGGAGTGGCTCCAGTGTTAAGAATTCTCCAAGTAAGTCAGGCACTGGTGGCTCATGCCTGTAATCCTAGCTACTATGGAGGCTGAGATCTGAGGATCACAGTTCAAAGCCAGCCCAGGCAGGAAAGTCCATGAGACTCTTATTTCCAATAAACTACCAGAAAACTAGAAGTGGTACTGTGGCTCAAGTGGTAGAGTGCTAGCCTTGAGCTGAAGAGCTGAGGGACAACACACAGGCCCAGAGTTCAAGCCCCATGACCGACCAAAAAAAAAAAAAAGAATTTTCCAGGTAGCTGTGTGTACTTGTAATCCTAGCTACTCAGAAGGCTGAGATCTAAGGATCGCAGTTTGAATCCAGTCTGGGCAGGAAAGTCTGTGAGACTCTTATGTCCAATTAAATCACAGAAAAAGCCAGAAGTGGAAGTGTGGCTCAAGTAGTAGAGTGCTAGCCTTGAGCAAAAGGAGCTAAGGGAGAGCTTCCAGGCCCAGAGTTCAAGACTCAGGACTGGCATAATAATAATGATAATAATGATCATAATAATAAATAATTCCCCAGGTTATGTGATGAATGTAGGCAGAATAGTGATGACTTTTTTGGAGTGCCTGTCCTGGGACCTGAACTCATTGCCTGGGTACTGTCCCTGAGCTCCTTCTGCTCAAGGCTAGTGCTTTACTACTTGAGCCACAGGTCCCCCTTTTTTTTTTTTTTTTGTTGGTCGTGGGACTTGAACTCTGGGCATGGGCGCTGTCCCTCAGCTCTTCAGCTCAAGGCAAGCGCTCTACCACTTGAGCTACAGCGCCACTTCTGGTTTTCTGGTGGTTTATTGGAGATAGGAGTCTCATGGTCTCTCCTGCCCGGGCTGGCTTTGAACCGCGATCCTCACATCTCAGCCTCCTGAGTAGCTAGGATTGTAGCTAGGATTACAGGCGTGAGCCACCAGCGGCTGGCTCACAGGTCCACTTTTGACCTTTTCTTTCCGGTCCTGTTTGTTTTTTCCCAGTTCTGGGCCTTGAACTCTGGGCCGGGGCACTATCCCTAAGCATCTTTTGTTCAAGGCTAGTGCTCTACCACTTGAGCTACAGTATCACTTCCGGCTTTTTCTGTGACTAACTGGAGAGGAGTCTCACAGAATTTCCCACCTGAAATGGCTTTGAACTCTGATCCTCAGATCTCAGCCTCCTGAGTCACTAGGATCACAAACATGAGCTACCAGGCTAGTGATGACATTTCTGATGAAATGGAGCTCCACGATGGCCAGCCTTAGGAGTGAATCACCTCTCTTGTCTCCTCCAGGTTCAATCAGTGCTACGGAGTGTTGGGGGTACTAGATCACTTGCATGGGACGGACAAAAAGTTTAAGCAGACCAAAGCCTATGAAAGACATGTTTTCCTGCTGGGCTTCACACCCCTGTCTGAGAGCATTCCCGACTCACCAAAAAAAGATTGAGGGGAAGGGGGGATGGGAAGGAATGGGAAGGGGAAACAAAGGAGGCAACAATGCTCCATAAGAAATGTCCTCATTACCTTGCCCATGTAATTGTAACCCCTCTGTACGGTATTTTCACAATAAAAAAAATTAAAAACAAAAAGGATTGAGGGTCCTAGTGCGCTCCTGCCTGTCCACTCTACAGCAGGATTCTGGGACAGCCTGACGTCTTAGAATTGCAATTAACGACTTGATTTCTTCAGCCACACACGAATGACACTGCTGGAGACAGAAGAAAAGTTGGCTTCCAGTGAAAAGGTCGGGCCAAGGTCAGGGGCAGAGCCCTCTTTTCAAATGACTGTCCTTGTCCCTATTGACTGAGGGGAAAACAAACAAACAAACAAACAAAATAGCTCCCCAGGCTGGAAACCATCCAGAGGGAAATAGAAATCATTTTGTTAGGCCCTGGTCTCCTGTGGAAGGGCACTAGGCTCCACCTCCAGATGAACCGTGGTGGTGGGGAAGTGGGGCTCTGCTAGGGCCAGAACACCGTTGGCAAACACATTCAAAGGCCATTGTTTTGTTTTGTTTTTTTCTCCAGTCCTGGGACTTAAACTCTGGGCCTGGGCACTTTCTCTGAGCTTCTTTTGCTTCAGGCTAGCACTCTACCACTTGAGCCACAGCACCACTTCAGGCTTTTTTCTGTGTATATAGGGTACTGAGAAATCAAACCCAGGGCTGCATGCATGCTAGGCAAGCACTCTACCACTAAGCCACATTCCCAGCCCACGATTACAATTCTGCCTTGCTGCACACAAATGTCCTTTCTTTTTTTCTTTTCTGTCAGTCGTGGGGCTTAAACTCAGGGCCTGGGCACTGTCCCTGAGCTAAGGTTAGCATTCTACCACTTTGAGCCACAGCTCTACTTCGGGTTTTCTGGTAGTTAATTGGAGATGAATATCCCTTTCCTGCTCAGGCTAGCTTCAAACCATGATCTTCATATCTCAGCCTCCTGAGTAACTAGGATTACCAAGTATGAGCCACCAGTATCTGACTTGAAGCACTTGACTCGTGGAGCTTGAACTCTGGGCCTGGGCGCTGTCCCTCAGCTCTTTAGCTCAAGGCGAGCCTTCTGCCACTTGAGCCACAGCACCACTTCCAGTTTTCTAAATGGTTTATTGTAGATAAGAGTCTCACTGACTTTCCTGCCCAGACTGGCCATGATCCTCAGATCTCAGCCTCCTGAGTAGCTAGGATTATGGGCATGAGCCACTGGCGCACGGCCCAAGGCAAAAATTTTAAAAAGGACATTCTTTCTATGGGTATTAAGACCCCAGAGGACTTAGCATTCTTCCTGCTTCTGCCAGCTCTGCTTGCTTACCTCTGGCCCTGCTGGATGCAGATCCCTGTCTAGGATGACCTGTGCCCTCAGCTGGAAGTGCACTGAAGCACTCATAGCTGTGGACGTGTATAACCATTACCTGTTCCTACAAATAAACATCTGGAAAATGGGGATGCACACACATAAAGAGAAACAACAGAAACACTTTTCCCTTTTAGTCTATAGATTTCAAGGAAAACAGACGTTATTATTTTTTTTTTTGTGCTTGAACTCAGAGCCGAGGTACAATCACTTGCATTTCTGCTCAAGGCTGGTACTCTACCACTTGAGCCACAGCTCCACTTTCAGCTTTTGCTGGTTATTTGAAGATGAGTCTCAAGGACTTTCCTGTCCAGGCTGGCTTTGAACCATGATCCATACATCTGTCTCCTGCATAGCCAGGATCACAGTGCCCAGTGCTGTTCTCCTGGGGATTGAACCTGGGGCCGGTCCCTGAGCTTTTTTGTTCAAGATTAGCACTCTACCACTTTGAGCCATAGCACCACTTCCGGTTTTTTGGTGGTTAATTGAAGTCTCACTTTCCTGCCTGGGCTAGCTTTGAACCATGATCCTCAGATCTCAAGCCTCCTGAGTAGGGTTATAGGCGTGAAGCACAAGTGCCCAGCTCATTCTATTTTTTTTTTTTGGGTCCGGTCGTTGAGCCTGAACTCTGGGCCTGGGTGCTGTCCCTCAGCTCTTCAGCTCAAGGCTAGCACTCTACCACTTGAGCCACAGCACCACTTCCGGCTTTTTTCTTTTTGCTTATGTGGTGCTGAGGAATTGAACCCAGGGCCTCAGGCATGCAAGGCAAGCGCTCTACCACTGAGCCACCTTCCCAACCCCTCATTCTAATATATTCTAACCTTCATGATTGTGTCCTTGGGAGCTAAGAAGTGTTCAATGGTCTCTTTTATAACCCATTCCTGACAGGAACTCGTAGAAGTGTAGTTGAAGTCTTCTTCACTTTCCAAAGCACTCAGAAGTCCTGGATACGATCTAAAATTTTTCCTTTGATCCATGGAGACCACTGGTGGTACCAAAGTACCTGCCCACCTGAAGGACAGGAAACCATTTGAGAGGAAATTCCATGATGGGAAGCAAAACAGTTGTGAAGCTGGGCAGAGACCACACCTCATCGTTAGCATGGAGTGTGGCTTCCTGAAATCTCCTGTAAGGGTGCAGAGGCTGGCCTGGACTTCAGGTCAGACTACCTAGTAGCTACTTCCTCCTTACTCCTTCCAGAAAGCCTGTTCAGAGGCAATGCCGACCCTCCACAAAAACCACCGTATTTTCCTTCTTGGCTATTTAAAATGCTATGTTACAGCTGCTGGAAAAGCTAGGAGCAAGAAGTGGGTAGAAAAGCTGAAATTTCACCTGTTGGACAGGTAGCTCTTTGTGGTCGGCTATGGCTCTCAAGTCCCACTAAGACAGAGTGAAAGGGTGGGGGTAAGGAGGTGATCAAGTGTGGAGTGCTTGCTCAAGCTGGGTGCTGGAGCCTGTAATCCTAGCTGAGATCTGAGGATCGTGGTTCAATGCCAGCCTGAGCAGGAAAGTCTGTGAGACTCTTTATTTCCAATTAACCACCAAAAGACTGGAAGTGGAGCTTTAACAAGGAAATGGAGGCATGGCTCAAGTGGTAGAGTGCCAACCACCTGTAAATGAAAAAAGCAAAGTGAAAGCTGGGTGCTGGTGGCTCCCAATTATACTCCTAACTACTCAAGAGGCTGAGAACTTGACTGTGGTTCCAAGTCAGCCCAGACAGGATAGTCTGTGAGGTTCTTCAATTATCCACCAGAAAACAGGAAGTGTTGCTGAGGCTCAGCGCTAGATGCTAGCCTTGAGCAAAAAAAACTCAGGGATGGCACCCAGCCCAAATTTCAAGCCTCACATCTGACATAAAAAAAAAAGGGGGGGGGAGGGCACCTGGGAATGTGGCTTAGCGGTAAATTGCTTGCCTAGCATGCATGAAGACCTGGGTTTGATTCCTCAGCACCACATACAGAGAAAAAAATGGAAGTGGCTCTGTGGCTCAGGTGGTAGAGTGCTAGACTTGAGCAAAAGAAGCTCAAGAACAGTGCCCAGGCCCAGAGTTCAAGCCCTAGGACTTGGAGGGAGGGGAAGGGAGAGGGAGGCCAAATGACAATGGGAGGTACTGAGTTCAAGCCCCAGGAAAGGTACAAAAAAACGAAACCCAAGTGGATACAGTAGCTGCTTTAAGGAGCACCTAACCCAGCAGCTCTCTCCTAGCTCCTCTCTTTCAGCCAACTGCAGCGCCCCGGATGGGAGACCAAACAGTAGGTTTGCCTTTTCAAGTTTTTATTTTTATACATTTTTTTTGTATTAAAAAGAAAAGCATAATTACCACAAATTACAAAGGACTAAAGCAGGACTAGAATAATGAATGAAATCACTTCAGCCTGGGAAGCAGATACTCTCAATAATATTAATGTTATAATACAAGCTCATTCAAGTATTTTACATTTTTTTTGTCCTTTTAAATGTGATATCCTAAAGCACATGGTAGATAATGTACTATGAGCGTAAGGGGGAACCTTTCTCTGCAAAGCCAGATGAGTTTTCTTCTCCAGTGAGAAATGGGCTGAAAGTTCTGATCTTCTCCACCATCAACATGGCCAGAGGAGGAGAGGATGGGGGTCTGAGGGAGAAATCAGGGACCTTTCCACACAAGTACTTTGGGGTTCCTATTCAAGAGTCCCAGATGATCCAGACTAACTCTACCCAGACTTTTGGCAACCTCTCACCCTCCTTCCCCACTTCCAGGGCCTTTCTGAGCAGCTTGCTTTCTTTGTAAATCAGTCATCAGAAAAGGGGAGGGGGAAAAAGAGCTACAATGGAACAAAACGAAAAACGTTGAACAACTTCGACATGGGGCTCAGCACCTCCACCAGAGCCCTTGGGGCCCGGGCTGGAGCAGGGTGGGACACAGCCTTCTCTTCTCGTAGTGCATTTGCTCCCAGGTGCAGGAGGGCATTCCAGAAATCTGCCCCTTGCCAGGGCCGAGGCACATGGACCTTCTGTTGGCTGTGCAAAGGTCGTTCTGTAAGGACCAACTCTGGAGAAGTAGGGGCTGAATAGAGGGGGTCTGGGCAGGGTGCTGCCTTGGGTCTCAGTTCTTCGATCCCTGTGGGAAGATGGTGAATGGGAAGTGGCCGGCCTCAAGGCCCTGCCACTCCGGGCATGCTTGTCACAGATACATCGGTCCTAAATTCAAGTGTCTTCAGAAAGTGAAGATGTAAACTACTCTTTGCAACATTAACTCCTAACATGTTACAAAAAAAAAAAAAAAAGTGGGGGGGCCCGCGACCGGACCCAAAAAAAGAAAACGAAAAATGAACATTACAACTTTAAAAAAAAAGTGGGGGGGGGAGGGGGAAGAAAAAAGAAAAAAAAAAGGAAAAAGAAAAGCTCCCCACCCCCTCTCCTCAGCCTATGTTGAGATGAAATCCCCACCTGCCCACAGCTACGGGCCCTCCTCCGCCAGGGGCATCTGAAAGGCTCAGGGAGAGGATGGCAGGCTGGGCGTGGGGGAAGAGCCTTCCCCCTCACCTTGACCCTTGACCCAGATCCACACAAAGGCCGAACCTGAGGTTTCAGTGGTGCTGGATACAGACTGGGGCTGATTGGCCAAAGGGAAAAGCGAAGGGAGGAAACTGGGGTGCAGGAGTCCAGTGTCTGGTACGGCGGCATGGGGCAGGCACCAGACCAGTCAGGGAAAGGCCTCAGGTCCCAGCAGAGCCTGACTGCACGCACTCCCATAGTGAACACGGGAAGGGTACAGGTTAAGCAATGAAGGACTCCCTAATAGGGGCGAAGCCCTTGGCAGCCTGGGACACTGTCTGCCTTTCTCCTACTCCCAACCTGTGGGCCAACAGAAGAACCTGGTGACGAGGCGGGCCACAGAGGTTCCAGGTAACCAAGCAACAAGAACACCGACGTTTCACTGGTGCTCAGGTCCCACGTAGGTGGAGCACCAAAGTCAGGCCCGTAACTTGACACAACCACCCCAGCGGTGTGGGTCAGTCCTTGATCACCCTTCCTGGCTTCTGATGACAAGTGGACTCCAGCCATTCCATTGTCATTTGCAGCCTGGCAGAGGCAGTCAGTGACTGGAGAAGAGAAGGCAGGTATACTCTATGTCCACATATACCTTCCTGCCATGGGGCTTCGCCAATGGGCAGGGTCTCCCCAGCTCCTCTGCGGCCTTTCTTCCCAGGCCGTGGTCTCACTCCCACACGGGCTTTTAGAGGGTGGGCAGAGATGGCTCGCAGAGGGAGGCAGGGCGAGATGCAACATGGGAAGACCCCACGAGGCCCTTGGAGGAGAATGGCACCTCTCTCTCTCCACTTTGAATGAGACAAGGCTTCCTTGAGGTCTCCAATCTTTTGGGGGGCAATGTTGAGAAACAGATCCAAGCCATGGCTGCAGGGTTCACCTGCCCCCTTCGGGCTGAGAGGGGGGGGAGGAAGGGGGGTTACGCTCAAGTGTGTTCCAGATCCAGGCCAACTCTTTCTTTCCGACAGTTTGAAGTGAACTTGGCCTTGGGGGGGGGGGGGTCACGGCAGGACAGGCCTGGCGCGAGGCGACAGCAAGCAGCGCGAGGACTCGACAGTGGCAGCAGTGTACAGACAGGGGACGTCAGCTTCAAACGATGCAACGGCGGGGGAGGGGGAGGGGGAGGGGGAGATGGCTCGGCTACGAACCACCCCAACTCTCTCGCCTCCGGGCGGGAGGCGCTGTACATGCAACTCAGTCCAGAGAAAGATTCTAGCCAGTCCAAGCCCAGGCACATCCAGAGAAGGTGGGACGCTCTTCGGGGTCGACTCCACCGAGGAAAGCAGGCATTTGGGTTTTATTTCAGATTCCCGCTCCACAATAAGGCAACGTTTAAAAAAATATTATTTCCAAGAACGAAAACAAAACAAAAACAAATTCCAAGGAGAGGGGGCAAGACATCACTTTCTATGGATTAGGTGGGGGGGGCTGTTTTCTGACTTTTTTGTGTTTTTTTTTCTTTTCTTTTTTTTTTTTAAATGGTCGATTTTTTTTTCCCCATTTTTCTCAAAAATGGAAAAGGTCAGAGAAAAATAAAATAAATCATCTTTCAATAGTCTTTTCTGGTATGAGCAACGTCTCTCTGGGCTGGGGAGTAAAGGGAGCAGGGGGAGGGGGGAAGGGGGGGAGGCTGAGGCCTTCCCAGCCCCCACTTTTAGATCCTTTGGTTTCCTTCTTCCCCAGAAGGTGGCAGAAGGGTGTAGAGTGGGGACAGGAGGGAGAGAACAGGATGATGGCAAGCCCCTGATGATCGTGGGGACGGTGCTTCTGGGGCGCAGGGGCACTGTCAGAGCCTTCCGTGGGACAGTACTGGGTGACGAGGCCCCGTGGGGCCTTCTGGTGGGCTGCATAGTTGGCTTGAGGGGGAGCAAGAGGAAGCTGTGAGTGGGGACCAGGGTTGCGGCCTCTCAGCCATGGGCAGGGCTGAAAAGTGATTTTGGTAATCCAGACAAACTATCAATAATTTAAAACTTGATATATATATATATATGTATATATATATAAAAAATCTCCCCCCTTTCCCTCCCCCCTTAGAAGAAGCTCAGATGGAAAGGTCATGGAGAGAGGAGGGAATGAAGGGGTGTGTGGAGGCTCCTGCCCAGGGGTACCTCTAAGAGCCAGAATGGTGGATACACCGTTACTCAGCATAAAGGCCCATCCAAATAACTCCAGGCCTGTCCCTTTCTCTGTCCCCTCTCCTGGGACTGGGCACCCCCACAGACCTTCGCCCACCCCACCCCGTCTCCCCCCAAAACCCCAGGGCTAGGGGCTTTTCACTTTCCCAAAGTCTGAGTGTCCGAGTGCTGGCTTGTCCATTTGGCATCTTCCCGGACAGGCTGGCCAGTAGGTGGTAGAAGGGGTTGGCTGATCATAGATGCAGGCCTGCTGGAAGACTGCGAGGGGCACCGCTTCCTGCTCTCGCCGCCGCCGCCGCCTGCTACCACGGGGTGTCGCTTGTGGTTGCCCTCTTCACCCATAGGAGGCTGCAACAGAGGAGGGAGTTGCACGTGACCAAAGCCCCCTCCAGGGCTGTCGACAGACCTAGTTTCTACCTCTCAATGCAGATCATCAATAGTTTTGACCTTAAAAACCCATTTCCAACTACTGAGCATCTTTTTCTATGCCAACATTATACTATTTTACGTGTATTTATTCTCTCACAGCCGTCATACCACCCCTTTGATGTGGATATAATTATGCGACTTTACAGGCGAGGAAACAGACAGAGAACTAATTGGCAAAGGTAAAATTTAGATCCACCTACCTCTAAAGACCAGGCTTTTATCCATTCAAATTTCAACTCTCCTTTTGAGAATACATCTTTTGGTTAGAAAATGTGTGAAACCTCGCATGCAGTATGCCGAGGTCTCAGCTCAGAAGGGCCAGATTTTTTTTTTTTCTTTTCTTTCCCCAGTCATGGGGCTTGAACTCAGGGACTGGGTGCTGTCCCTGAGCTTTTGCTCAAGGCTAGTGCTCTACCACTTTGAGCCACAGCTCCACTTCCGGCTTTCTGGTGGTTAATTGAAGATGAGTCTCATGGACTTTCCTGCCTGGGCTGGCTTTGAACTATGATCCTCAGATCTAAATAGCTGGGAGTATAGGTGTTATAAGCCACCAGCACCCAACACCAGATGTTCTTGGGGAATCACCGGTCGTCTCCTCCCCCCACCCCCATACACACACTAAAACAGGCTACTGAACCAAGAACCAGACCATGATCCAGTCTGGCTCCATAATCACCAGAGGTGCTGAGTATCTCGATTCCTTTTTTGGGTACCATAGCTGAGCCCTTGTTCTTTGCCTTTGTACACCCTCTCTCCCCAAGACAGACTCATCTCTACAAGGGGAAGTCTGAGAAGTGTTTCCCTTATCTTTTCAGTTTTATCTATCTGGACTACCTAAAGGTCAACGAGGTTAATATAAAGTGCCTAGCACAGTGTCTGGGACATAGTAAATGCTCAATGGTGTTTACTTACAAAGTTGGAAGAAATGGGATAAGATCCTTAGCAGAGATTTCTACTACATTACAGACTCACTGGTTAAACTATCACCTTTTTTCTGAGGTGCTGGGGGATTAAACCCAAGACCTCACACATGTTAATAAGCACACTGCCATTATAAACCCAAGGAAATAGTCTCTCACTCATCTCTGGAGTCCCTGAAGCACCTGGTGCAGATCAGTGTTTATGCTTCCTTGATATCTAGTAGCAATAATTCAGACTCACCACTGGATGTCACTGTTGGAGCACTGTTCAAAAGAACGGGACACTAGTTCACAAGCTTCTAGTTAGCTGGAATTGACCTTTTCCAGAACAAATACATTCATCATAATAATAATTCTAATATAAACTTATAGTTGTGTACCTGGACATGGCAGCAAGGACTGGGAATGTAAGGAAAAGGGCCTTTGATGATTTAACTGTCTACAATGAGAAGGGACCCTGGGGCAGCCACACAACTCTTAATTTAGACTCACTGCCCACCTTCGCCTTCCACTTTTCAGACGAGGACCCTAAGAAAACCCAAAGTGGAAGACCCGGGAGAGGGTTCCTGAGCCAATGGCATAGCTAGGATTAGAACTTAAGCATCCTGATTCCTGGAATAGACTTTGTTTTGGAGGGGTACAGGGAAATGAATTTGGGCCTTTGAAATTGGAGACAGTCTTTTGGACTTTTTTTTTTTTTTGCTGGTCCTGGTACTTGAACTCAGAGCCTAAGTGCTTTTTTGCTCAAGTGCTATACCACTCAAATTATAGCTCCATTTCTAGCTTTTTGGTGGCTAATAGTCTCACGGAATTTCCTCCCTGGCCTGGCTCTGATTTTGAACTACAATCCTCAGATCACAGCTTCATAAGCAGCTAGGATTATAGGCATGAACTGCCAGTGCCTGTTGTCTCTTGGACTCTTGAGTAGCTAGAATTGCAGGTGTGAGTTATTGGCGAAGTATAGAACATTTTTTTTTCTTTACAGGATCACTAAGAGTGAAAAAAGAGATTTTCTTTTTTTCTAGCCAGTCTTGGGGCTTGAACTCAGGGCTTGGACACTGTCCCTGAGCTTCTTTGCTCGGGGCTACCCTTTGAACCACAGTGCCACTTTCAGCCTTTTCTGTTTATGGTACTGAGGAATCAAACACAGGGCTTCATGCATGCTAGGCAAGCACTCTACCACTAAGCCATGTTCCCAGCCCATGAGAGACTTTCACTTACATCCACTCGGAAGTCTTCTAGCCGTCTGAATTTGCCGAGGTATTCTTGCAGTTTGGGGTCAATGTCCAAATTTTTGGCTTTGGAATATTTTAGGAAAGCCCAGAACTTCTCCAGTCCATAGAGCTGGCCCTATGATTAAAAAAAAAAAAAAAAAAGAAGATAGGCAGACAAAAGTTAGGCTCCTGAGATGAGGATAAGTAGGCTCAGAGGAGAGGGAGGTATAGGGTGACACACAGAAAGACACAGGTGACAGGTGGATCAAGTAGCTAGAAGGTCCGGATAATCAGGGCTTACACAGAACCAACTCTGACACTTACCAGCTTCATAGTCCTTCACGGTTTCCTCCTGAAAGTCCTTGAATATGTCCAACCGAAACTTTTTTTCTAGGCCGTAACTGTAGTATCGAAAAAGGCACTCCAAACCATATCTGTGGGAGGACACAAGGTCAGTGAACTCAGGCAGTTTCTGCATCTATAAAATGGCAATGTGCCTGCATGGGAAAGGAACTAGGAAACTCGTTATTCCTTTGTTGAAAAAATTTGGCTGGGCACCGCTGGCTCACGCCTGTAATCCTAGCTACTCAGGAGGCTGAGATCTGAGGATGTAGTTCAAAGCTAGCCCAAACAGGAAAGTCTATGATACTCCTATCTCCAATAAACTATTCAGAAAAAGCCAGAAGTGGTGCTGTGGCTCAACTGGTAGAGGCTCAAAGAGGCTCAAAGGTAATGCCCAGGCCCTGAGTTCAAGCCCCAGGATTGGCAAAAAAGAAAAAAAAAAGGCAAGTACACTTTTAAGAAAGCTAACAATTTGAATGCTAGAGCCAGCAATAATGGTGGGATGACATTATCAAGATGTAACCTAGGGCTTGGGAATGTGGCTTAGTGGTAGAGTGTTTGTTTGCCTAGCATGCCTTTATGTGGTACTGATTCCTCAGTATCACATGAACAGAAAAAGCCAGAAGTGGTGCCATGGCTCAAGTGATAGAGTGCTAGCCTTGAGCAAAAGAAGCTCAGGGACATTACCCAGGCCTTGAGTTCAAGTCCCAGCACTGGCAAAAAACAAAACAAAGCAAAAACCAAAACCCAAAGTTCATGGCTTGGGGCTGGGAAGGTGGCTCAGTGGTAGAGCACTTGCTTGCCTTGCATGCCTGAGGCCCTGGGTTCGATTCCTCAGCACCACATAAGCGAAAAGAAAAAAGCCAGAAGTGGCGCTGTGGCTCAAGTGGTAGAGCGCTAGCCTTGAGCTGAAGAGCTGAGGGACAGCGCCCAGGCCCAGAGTTCAGGCCTCACGACCGGACCCCCCCCCCAAAAAAAACAAACAAAAACAAAAAAACAAAAAAAAAAACATTTGCTGCCTCAAGACACCGAACATCCAAATGTCTTACAGGAGGAAATGTATTTTACTTTAAAATTTGGAGTAGAAGGGGAAAAAAAGGAGCTTTAAAAAAGTTTTTTAATAAGCAAAATACAATAAACCTAAGTATCAGCAGGAGATGATTTAAATAAATGCCAGTATATCTAGTATATGGAAAAGGAAGCATTTTATGTATGCAAACGCTCCGGGACAAATGCCAGGCCCTGAATTCAAGCCCTAGGACCAGTGTGTGCATACGCATACACACATACATGCACGCACGCATGCATGCAAGCACAGAAAAAGGAAAGTTATGTGCAGATGTGGATGGATCTCTAAACTAAAGGATTAAGAAAAAAAGGCCAAGTGCAAAAGAATATTGACCACGATGTATACCACTTCTGGTGTAAAGATGAAAGACAGTGATGTAAGAGATGGCATAGACAAATCGCTTGTGAACAAGGCACAAAGCATCTTTTGGAAATAACGACCAGCTGCTAAATGCAGCGAGGAGGCAGACTTCATCACATCACCTTTTAAGTTCTGAAGTTTGAACCATGTGAAAGTACTGTTCATTTTAAGTCAGATATGAATGCATTCCCAACTCTAGTTGTAGAAAGCCAGTTAGACATCCACCTGAACTGTGCTCACCTGTAGCCTTCTTTGGCATCCTCCAGAGCCAGCTGTTTGAACTCCTCGTACATCTTTTTGTTGAAGTGATCTCGGAGGAAGAAGGACCAGAAGCGGAAGAGTGTGTTCATCTCCTGAGACTGGCCAATGCCCAAGCGCTTTCGTTCTGGTGGGGAAGGAGGGCAGACATGACTCGGGCAGGCTGCCCTTGCTCTTGGGACGAAGGATTCTGGGACTTAAGAACAGGTTTCCTGCTGGGTACCAGTGGCTCACGCCTGTAATTCTAGCTACTCAGGAGGCTCAGGATCACAGTTCAAAGCCAGCCAGGACAAGAAAGTCCATGAAACTCTTTATCTCCAATAAACCACGAGAAAACCGGAAATGGCGCAGTAGCTCAAGTAATAGAGTGCTAGCCTTGAGCTGAAGAGCTGAGGGACAGCACTCAGGCCCAGAGTTCAAGCCCCATGACCAACAAAAAAGAAAAGTATTTACTTAGCAGGAACTCCTATGCATTAGGCCCTATGCCTTGCTAGAAGCAGATGGCTTCAGTTTCTGAACTAGTCTAACTGGACATCTCAATGGTACCCCCTTTCTTTGTTGGTTGTTGGGCTTGAACTCAGGACCTAGGTGTTGTCTGAGCTTCTTCACTCAAGGCTAGTACTCCACCAATTTGAGCCATAGCTCTACTTCTGATTTTCTGGTGGTTATTGGAGATAAGAATCTCACAGGCTTTCCTACCCTGGCTGGTTTCAAAACACAATCCTCAGATCTCAGCATCTTGAGTAGCTAGGATTATAGGCATGAGCCAGCAGCAGCACCCAGCTTTTGGTAGTTAATTGGAGTTAAGGGGATCACAGACTTTCCTACCCAGGCTGGCTTTGAACCATGATCTCAGCCTCCTGAGTAGCTAGGATTCCAGGCGTAAGCCACCAGCACCTGGCCCCGTTTTCTTTTCTATTCATTTTTACTTGGTTATTCCAATAAATTTCACCCCCTCTACCAGTCTTCCTACTCCCTAAAAACAAGGTCAACAGGTTTCACTGTTCTAATTTCATACATGCAATATACTTAGCCACATTCACCCTCCTTGTTAGCCTAACTTTTCTGCTAGTACTCAACTCCCAAAAGAGCCCGTTTCTCCCCCACCACCTATTCACCAACAACTCTGAGGCTTTTTTATGTCTAATATAAGTTACCAAGTATTTCATCTTCTTTCATGTTTATCTACATATACAAAATTACATATACAGGTATACATATGCATATATGTACGTGCGTCAATGTCCACAGATAGGCATGTTTTTTCAGGTCTAGCTTCCATACACGAGCAAAAATATATCTGGTTTTCTTTTCTTTTTTTGGTCTGGTTGTGGGGCCTAAACTCTGGGCCTAGGCGCTGTCCCTCAGCTCTTCAGCTCAAGGCTAGCACTCTACCACTTGAGCCACTTCCGTTTTTTTTTCCCCTACTTATGTGGTGCTAAGGAATCAAACCCAGGGCCTCATGCATGCAAGGCAAGCATTCTACCACTAAGCCACCTTCCCAGCCCTATATCTGGTTTTGTAAGCTTGACTTGTCTGGCCCAATATAATGTCTACCAATTTCATCCTTTTTTTTGTTGTCAGTTGTGGGGCTTGAACTCTGGGCCTGGGTGCTGTCCCTCAGCTCTTCAGCTCAAGGCAAGTGCTCTAGGCCACTTGAGCTACAGTGCCACTTCTGGTTTTTTAATCGTTTAATGGAGATAAGAGTCTTAGGGACTTTCCTGCCCCAGCTGGCTTTGAACTGTGATTCTCAGATCTCAGCCTCCTGAGTAGCTAAGCTGACAGCTGTGAGCCACTGGTGCCCGGCTTCCATCCATTTTTTATCTGGTACCATGAATAAGCAGCATAAGGCAAAGTAAGAGCCAGTAATTTTAAAATTCTAGCAAATTACACTGTGCGCTTTACTTGTATTAACTATATTAACATAACTCAAAAGTTAGCGGGAGGGCTGGGAAGGTGGCTCAGTGGTAGAGCGCTTGCCTTGCATGCATGAGGCCCTGGGTTCAATTCCTCAGCACCACATAAGCAAAAAGAAAAAAAAGCCAGAAGTGGCGCTGTGGCTCAAGTGGTAGAGTGTTAGCCTAAGCCCAGAGTTCAGGCCCCACGACTAGACCCCCCCCAAAAAAAGTTAACCAGGCGCCAGTGGCTCATGCCTGGAATCCTAGCTACTTAGGAGGTTGAGATCTGAGGATCATGGTTCAAAGCTAGCCTGAGGAGTAAAGTCCATGAGACTCTTCTCTCCAAATAATCCCTAAATCAGAAGTGACAATCTCACTCAAAATGGTAGTGAAGAAACTCAGACAGCACAGCACCCAAGCCCTGAGTTCAAGCCCCATGACCAACAAAAACAAAACAAAACAACAAAAAACAAATCTCCAAGTTGGGCATCATGGCTTACTCAGGAGGCCGAGATCTGAAGATCAAAGTTTGAAGCCAGCTTGGGCAGGCAAGTCCATGAGACTCTTATCTCCAACTAACCACCAAAAAGCTGAAGTAGAGCTGTGGCTCACAGGATTGGAGTGCTAGCCTTGAGCAAAAAAGCTCAGAGACAGCACCCAGGCCCTGAGTTCAAGCCCTAAGACTACCCTCCACCCCACACACATCCACAAACTCAGTATGTAAGACCAAAAGCACAAACAACAATCAGCAGCTAAAAAAAGGTAAGATTAGGGCTGGGAATGTGGCTTAGTGGTAGAGTGCTTGCCTAGCAAGCATAAAGCCCTTGGGTTGGTTTGATTCCTCAGTACCACATAAACAGAAAAAACCAAAAGTGGTGCTGTGGCTCAAGTGGTAAAGTGCTAGTCTAGCTTGAGCAAAAGAAGCTCAGGGATAGTGCCCAGGCCTTGAGTTCAAGCCCCAGGACAAGAAAAAAAAAAAAGTTAACATTAGAAACTTTCTTTTTTTTTGGTCCAGTCGTGAGGCCTGAACTCTGGGCCTGGGCACTGTCCCTCAGTTCCAGCTTTTTTCTTTTTGCTTATGTGGTGCTGAGGAATTGAAGCCAGGGCCTCATGCATGAAAGGCAAGCCCTCTACCACTGAGCCACCTTCCCAGCCCCAACATTAGAAACTTTTATGAAGCCGGGCACCAGTGGCTCACACCTGTAATCTACTCAGGAGGCTGAGGACTGCAGTTCAAAGCCAGCCTGGGCAGGAAAGGCCAGGAAGGCTGTGAGACTCATCTCCAACAAACCACTCAGAAAACTGGAAGTGGCTATGTGGTTCAAGTGGTGGAGCACTAGCCTTGAGCTGAAGAGCTGAGGGACATCCAGAGTTCAAGCCCTCTGCCCAACAAAACAAATAAGCAAAAGATTTATGAGTTGGGAAAGTGAAAAAGACAACATACAAGGGAGAAAACATGTATCTGACAAGAATGCTTACAACTTAGTGATAAGACAGATCCAACTAAATTAGAATCTGTATCACAAATGAGGAAAATGCAAATCAATACCATAAGATACACTATTTCCCATCCTCTAGAATGAGTACAACTAAAGAGACTAACAGTAGCTAGTTGTAACCCTCACACCTGTAAACCTTGCTACTCAGAAGGTTGAGACTAGAAGGATCATAGTTTGAAGCAAAAAGATCTCAAATCAAAATCTCAACCAATAGAAAGCTGGGTGCAGTGGTATGTGCCTGCCATTTAAGCTAGATGGGAAATATAAATAGAAGGATTGTGGCCCGAGCCTGCCAGGGCAAACAGCAAGACCTGACTTCTGGCAGCCGACAGAAGCTGGAGCCTGGTCATGGCAGAGGTATTGGGAGGTATATAGAGAGCAGGTTGGGGTGACCATTGCCATGGCCCCTCTAGCCAAGACCTGATGGAGATAAAGGTAATGCATCGTCCTGTTTCCCTTAAATAGCAAAGAATCTAAAACCAGAATGTTATTCGTGGGTTGGTTTTTAATCTAAAACTGGCTGGAGATGAGGTCCTGAATTTAAGCCCTCATACGTGCAAAAAACAATCTCACTTTATGGTAAAAGGAAATACATCTCACAACATCTATCAAGGCTTTCTCCTAGATGATAGTGAGCATCATTTCTCAAGTGTTTTACACACTAACTACCACATTGAAAAAAAAAAGGGGGGGGGGAGGCTGGGAAGGTGGCTCAGTGGTAGAGTGCTTGCCTTGCATGCATGAGGCCCTGGGTTCAATTCCTCAGCACCATATAAGCGGAAAACGCTGGAAGTGGCGCTGTGGCTGAAGTGGTAGAGCGCTAGCCTCGAGCTGAAGAGCTGAGAGACAGCACCCAGGCCCAGAGTTCAGGCACCACAACTGACAAAAAAAAAGTTCTTTCCTTAAGACATGATGGAACTGGGCACCGGTGGCTCACACCTGTAATCCTAGCTATGCAGGAGGTTGAGATCTGAGGTCTGAGGTTCAAAGCCAGTCCAGGCAGGAAAGTCCATGAGACTCATCTCCAATTAACCACCAGAAAACTGCAAGTGGCACTGTGGCTCAAGTGGTAGCGCGCTTGCCTTGAGCTGAGGAACAACGTCCAAGCCCAGAGTTCAAGCCACAGGACCCACAAAAACAAACGAACAAACTTCAGGCAATCTTGCCTGAAGTACAAAACAACAACAACAACAAAACCCAACAACAACAACAAAAAACCCAACACCTGACACTTTTCTATATCAAATGGAGGAAGCTCAAGGAATTGAACTGTTATGATCTAAATTCCCCTAACTTCTGCCATTTCATTTTGTTTTCCTGTTTTTGTTGATCGTGGGGCTTGAACTCTGGGCCTGGGCACTGTCCTTCAGCTCTTCAGCTCAAGGCTAGCACTCCACCACTTGAGTTGCAGCACCACTTCCGGCTTTTTCTGCTTATGTGGTGCTGAGGAATCGAACCCAGGGCCTCGTGCATGCAAGGCAAGCATTCTACCACTGAGCACCAAACAAGACACCTGAATCTAACTTTCGTTCTTCTTGCCATGCCACTTCTTGTTTCCAGTAGCTGTTGTCTGCATGGACCTAAGTAATCACACAAAGGCCCAGCACTTCTTACCGTTAAGGCAGCGCCTACGATACTTATGGTAGACATGTTGTGTGAAGCCATTTTCCTTGAGCAGCTCATGGGAAGGATGCTGGAACTTGGGCAGTGACTGAGGGGTACAGCCATAGCTACCAACTGCAGGTGTCCCTTCTGAGGGGCTGGAACTAGAACCACAGAAAGATAAGTGTCACCAGGTTACCCATAACAGCCCACCCTAAGGTTAGGAGATCCTTTTTGATCCCTCATGTCAGCCCAAACTGTGCCATTAGCATTGTTCAGTCCCCGATTGAGGAAGACGTTGCATCAACCCTCAGAGGGTTTAAGAAGTTACTGAGGCTCAGAGACTGGTCCAGGATCAAGGTGCTAGTAAATAGCAGAGCTCTGTTCAAATGTTAAAATTTACGCTTCCTGGCATTCTTTTCCTAACTTGTAAGTTTATACTTTCCTTAATGAGCCATCCATCTGATGTTAACCCATTTTATAACCCTGCTTTATTTTCAGTCTGTACTATTTCTGCAGGAAACAGGCTACATAGGTTGGTGACTCCCAAACCTTGCTTTAGAATAAGGAACAATGGACTATCTAATGAAAAGGAAAAAAAAAAAAGGAATCTGGGACCTATTCTGAAAACCTCAGTAAGACGAGTTAGGGCAGGACCAAAGAATTTTCTTTTTCCTCCTTTTTCTTTTGCTAGTTGTGGGGCTTGAACTCAGGGCCTAGGCTCTGTCCCTGAGCTCATTTTGCTTAAGGCTAGTGCTCTACCACTTTTGAGCCACAGCTCCACTTCTGGTTTTAGGGTGGTTAATTGAAGGTAAGAATAGTGCTCTATCACTTGAACCACGGTGTGACTTCCAGTTTTCTCTGAGTACTTTATGGGAGATAGGAGTGTTACAGACATTCCTGCCATGGCTACCTTCAAACCACAAATCTCAGATCTTGGTTTCTTGAGGAGCTAGCATTACAGCACCCAAATAATAGAATTTGTTTTTTTCCTCCTCTTTTCCTTGTGGTGCAAGGATCAGACCCAGCATCCTGGGCATGCTAAGCATGCTCTCCACCAACGAGCTATAGCCCCAGCCCTATATGCTTATTTACTTGGACATTGTTTCTTAGGTAGGCAATCACAATTCAGAAAACACTATGAACGTATCAAAATCAGGTCCTTTCTCCTTCCCAGCTCCTGGCTTTACATGAAGGTTCCTTGAATTTCCAGTCTGGTGGATTTCATGCCCTCTTACCCACCCCACATAGGTAGCCCGATCCACTACTGCCCTAGTACCTAATAGACGCCGTCCTCGGCCTGTGCTCCCGGGAATCCATCACCCAGCCCACATGGCTCTCCAAAGGTGGGTTCGAGCTGTGCCTTGTCTTCCTTTTTCGAGGCATCTGTAAAGATCAGCCAGGACTTAGTTGTACAGGTACAACTCTGAGGAGCATGAAGAATTCTTAGAGGAGTAAGACAGCCTTCATAAATGAGTGGTACCTCCCATTTTATTTTATTTTGGATCCGGTCGTGGGGCCTGAACTCTGGGCCTGGGTGTTGTTTCAGCTCAAGGCTAGCGCTCTACCACTTGAGCCACAGCACCACTTCCGGCTTTTTTCTTTTTTCTTATGTGGTGCTGAGGAGTCGAATCCAGGGCCTCATGCATGCAAGGCAAGAGCTCTACCACTGAGCCACCTTCCCAGCCCCCACCTCCCATTTTAGACAGTACTTTTTGTGGGCTCATTCTTTGTTCATTTGTTTGCAGTACTGGGAACTGAACCCAGGGTTGTGTGCAAGCTACCCCAACAAAATCATTTTCTCCCACATAATGTTCATGGCTGTGGAGCTAGCAACTGTCAAGTCCATTTCACAGGTGAAGCAATGGAGGCTGAGGAGCAAGGAGATTTGCTGGTGGATCACACTGGTTAGTCCTTATGTCCACCACTCACTTCACTGGCTCAGATGAGACAGACAGAAATAAAGAACTAGAAAGTAAAGTGGGTCCAGGACAAGCAACTCACCTTGGCATCCAGTGTCCGTCCTTCTTTTACCACTGGGTAAAATCGCGAAGTCTGGCTTGAGTCTTTGAGCTGTGGGGTCCGGGGCGTGCGGGGAGTCCTGGCATTGCGGTAGTTTGGTGACTCTGGGACAGTGGTTGGTAGAGAACGGGCAATGGTGGAGGGCTCAGGAGCACCAAACAGTTTGTTGGCCAGTGCATCAGTGGGAACTGCAGAGGCAGAAAGTGCGGTAAGCATGCAGGGGACAGTTCAAGGCTGTGGACCCTCATCAACATTGGGTCTCATGTCTGGTCCTCACCTTGCTGGAACCGGGGCGGACCAGGAGGAACCTCCTGGTTGGGGTCCACAGGGGGCTCAGGAGTCAGGGTGTCAAACTGCTCCCGGCTGATCATGTTGACTTTCTTAAAGTTTTCAACTTCTTGCTGCAGAGGATGTGAGATGGGCGGGGAAAGAGGGCAAGTCAGCAAGCTGCTCTAGCCGGCTTAGGAATCAAGACTGGCGAGAAGTGGGAGAGGACAGCTCCCCCGTCCACATACATGGCATTCTGGTCTCCAGGCCTTCAGGTGCCTGTGGCCACTTGACCATAGTTACCCAGACAAAAGAATGCTAAACAAAGGAGGCCAGCACATAAGACTGAGCTCACGCTGGCAAAAGTGCTGGAGTTAGCACAGGCTCTTTCCTAGTCATTCCAACAGCTCCTTATGTACCTTCCTGCCACCATCTTGTCACAGTGGCCAGGCAAGTCTCTCTCCTCCACCAAACAGTTACTACTCAGTGCATAGATGCCCAACTTCCACCAAACATGCTCGGTGCAAAAATTGACTTATTTTTGAGGTAAGAGAACACCAAGACTGAGATCCACCTTCCCATTGTAGCTGAGTGTGGTGCTGTGCTTTTGTCATTGAGGAGAGATTAAGAAAGGTTGTCAATGTATATGGCCAGGCTGGCCTCAAACCACGATGCTCCCAACCTCAACCTCCCAAGTAGCTAGGATTATAAAATTGAGTCACTGGCACCCGACCACAAGATGTCTTCTTTTCAAAAGATCTATTTTTTAAAAAATATTTTATACACTCAACATAAAATATAGGCTTTGAAATGTTTATACTATCTAATTATGACAGTCTCATTTTATTCTCCATCAGTGTCTAGCCAACTTTAAATAAAATACTGATGTCCAGGACAATAAATCCTCCTCTATGCAATTCAATAGGGTTCATGTATCTATTGTTGCATTAATGGCCCAAGAAGGTGTAAACCACCATCTTCCTCTCACAAGTGAGTATATAGGCTTTGGACTGGAGAGGGTCTTCCTTTTCTCCGTCTATTATTGGTATCCCAGGCTGCATATTCACTGCTACAGTTGAGCCTCACCTTAATCTGGGAATACTCAGGTTCAAACTTCTCAGTCCACAGGTCCTGCTCATAGTAGAAGAGCCCATCATTAATGACTTTGGCCAGCTCAGCACTCATCTTGGCCCGAGAGGTATGGTTGCCTGTGCGGTCCCCACCAGGGTGCCGGCGCATGTATGGTGGTGTCTGGGTAACAATGAGGATCTTGTTGACATCCCGGTCATCAATCTCATAGTCAGAGTCCTCATCAGACCAGGCAGTGAAGGTATTCTTTCGTCCATCCATCTGTTCCATCTCTTCATCGAATAGGAAATCGAGTTCTTCTTGCTCATCCTGGTCCTTAGCCATCAGCTGCTGGGAGAGAAGCTGCTGAGGCAAAGAGGTTGGGTGGGCGAGTCTGGGCTCCTCTGACTTCTGAAATAGGACAGACCAAAGACAGAATCACTAGGGGGGGTCTTTGAATCAGGTTCTAGTTTTGTCATGAGAGGAAGTTCTGGCCTGTCACATAGCCTTAGTAACACTAACAGGTTAGTGTTCCCTCCCAGGAGTTGGCTTTAGGGAGAGAGAATGCCTTCATGCGCAGAGCCCAGTTCCTTCACTCACAGCTCACAGAACCATTCACAATCAACTAAGAAGTGAGCATAAACCAGAAGTTCAACAGGTTGATTTTTCCATTTATCCATCTTGTTTTATGATGTATTTAGTACCTGCATTGGGACCTCTCAACAGCAAATCTTCAATGCGCTGATGGATGAGCAAGGACCCAATAGTACCAGGTCCTTAAAAGGGCAGGATAAATTAAGATTAAAGTTCCTCCACTTTAGTAGGATTAAAAGTCTACCAGTCAGCCAACTGCAATGTAATATGGCAGAGACTAGAAATAGTTCATTGGAATACAGAGGATGCTTACCCACCTGATGTGGGCACGACTTCCTAAATTCTAGCTATGAAAGGATCAACACAAGTAAGGTGGATGAAGACAGGGACAGAGAGTGCCAGGTAGAAAGGATAGTATGCACACAGGCAAAAGAAAACAGGATGCTTTTAGCAAGGAATGTCAAACTGCTCCCAGGTGATAGAAGAAAACATTTCAGAAGGTCAATAAGACTGAATTTATCTGACACTGAGGGAGAAGCATTTGTCTACCTCATATGCCTCCAAGGCAATTCCTTGCTATGCAAAGACCTTCCCACATAAACCCCAACTCTATCTCTTTTAAGCTCAAGATAAGCCAACCAAGTAGTGGCTCCGAAGATTGCAATTCTAGGACTGAGCAGGAGGGACAAGGGAGAGACTAATAAATCTGGCTCTCTCATCTTTCCAAAGCCTTGGTCGTCTGAACGCTTTATAGGGGCCTTGTTCATTTACTGTCTGTCTTTATCCCCATTATTCCTACTTGGGAAAATACAACACTTTTTAAAGGCAATAGTCAGAACAGAGAAGGAGTTCTGGGGATCAGCTGACACAGACAAGGAAGGAGACAATAGAACCAGTCAATGTAAAATGCATGAGGAAGCTAAGGGTTTTGTAGATTCAAAACCTAAGGTCATCTCTGAATCACCTCACAAGCTCCAGACCCAAGGTCTCCAAAGCAAAGGAGACAGGGAAGATAAGTTCAGTGCTAGAGGCAGTAGTTGTAGTTGGAGATTGAAATACTTCACCTACAGTAAGTTCCATCTGTACTACATACATACATTGCTTTACTAATGCTAGAGTAGTTTGACCATGCTTTCCCATTTTAAATCAGGGAAAAATGAGGTCCTGAAGTACTCAACCAACTTTCCAAGGTCACTAAGCCATCAGCTCTGTAAACCTGTGTTCTAGTCTAGACTCAATCAGTGCATTTACCACATCTGTTCCCTCTCCTCTGCTTCTACTAAAGGGATGAGGGACTTACAGGATATTGAGAACAAGTTCAGGAAAAAGGCTCTCTCTGGAAATGCAGACTCAGGGAATGAGATGAAGCAAAAACACAAGCTAAGACTCAAGAAACCTGGGCCATTGCTGTATGACTTCTTCCTATGGAACAGCCACTCAGGAACTTAGCAGAGCCCAGCATCCTGAGGAAAAGTCCCCCTCACACCCCAGTGGAAACAGGCCAAGCTAACTATCCTGTAGTTGCTCCTGGTCATCTCACATTAGAACCCTGAACCACCTGGGTTCATACTTCTTTTTGTGATCCCTCTTCCAAGCATTCCAGTCTAGGGTCCTCAAAGCCAAGGTAAGTTCCTCACTCACCCTGGGTCGTGCTGGGGAAGGTCGAGGCCTTTTCTTCACTTCAATCCAGTTCTCAGAATCCAGGTCAGGCAAGCTAGCAGACAAGCCCTTGGGTAGCGTCTTCAGGTTGCTGACCTCCTCTGTTTTGGTTGGCACCGGGGTGACAGCACGGGGAGAGCCAGGAGCTGACTCTGAATGGTAGGAAGATAAGATCCTCATCTCTCCAGTTTTCATCATCAGACCAGTACTGAAGATGTTTGCCAGAGGATGAGGACAAGAAAGGAGCATCTAGGGAGCCGGGAAGGTGGCTCAATGGTAAAGCACTTGCCTTGCATGCCTGAGGCCCTGGGTTCGATTCCCCAGCACCACATAAGCAAAAAGAAAAAAGCCGGAAGTGGCGCTATGGCTCAAGTGGTAGAACGCTAGCCTTGAGCTGAAGAGCTGAGGGACGGCGCCCAGGCCCAGAGTTCAGGCCCCATGACTGGACCCAAAAAAGAAAGGAGCATCTAGATGCTGGAAGGGTACCTACCTGTTTCCTTTTGGTAGTGCTGGCGGGGAACAAACTCAGGGCAGTTGAGAAGCTGAGAGAAATCAGTCTGTGAATAATCTACGATTGGAGGACCAGGCAGAGGCCACTTCTCAGGCTCTTCCCTCCTACGGACTTTCTCATCAACAATCTCCACCACCTTGCTGTCCTTTAGGGCCTGTGGGGGAGGATGAAGGACAGAAGATGAAGAAGAAAGACTAAGATCTTCAAAAAGATGAACAACTGGGTCCCTAAGAGCTTGGCTAATAGTCCAGGGACAGTAGTCCTATTAAGTATTTGGCACCTTCCTCCACAGACAGGCAGACGTGTGAGATGTCCAAACTTGTACTAGGGTAAAAACATCAAAACCAAACTACCCATTAACCCTGTAATTCTACTTCCAGTAAGCCAAGGAATACTTGTACAAAGAGGAAATAGTTAACAGTAAGATTTGGACTTAAAGGCCATATATAGAAAACACTGTAACAAGGAAAAAAAAAATCCTGAAAACAATCTATCTTGTCATCACATTGGCAACTTAAATAATGGTTCATTCATTCAATGGTGGATCAGACATTTAAAAAGAAAAAAAAAAGTTTTTAGGGCACCAATGGTTCATGTCTTTATCCTAGCTACTCACGTGGCTGAGATCTAAGGATCACGGTTTGAAGCCAGCTTGGGCAGAAAGGTCCCCATGAAACTCTGATCTCCAATTAACCACTCAAAATCCAAAAGCAGAATTAAAGCTCCAAGTGGTAGAGCATTAGCCTTGAACAAAAGAGCTCAGGGACAATGCCAAGCCCTAAGTTCACACCTTCTGACCAACCCAAAAAAAGAAAAAGCAAGTATAGATCAGTATGTATTAAATCCCTTTTGTATTTGGATTTTAAGGTAAACTACTTATAGTTGTTATCTGAGAATATGGATAAATTTAAAAAAATTTTGAAATCTTTTAAGTGAATGAAGGAAAGGAAAATTTCAACATGTACTGTTGTTGAGAATGCAAAGGCGAAACCTCTACAAAGGAAATTGGGCAATGTCTAACAAAATTACATATGCATTCACTTTTATTTAGCCATTTCTGCTTCTGAAAACCTGTACCAAAAATACACTGGCAAAAATATGAAAAGCTAACTGCTGATGTATTAATAAAAGACTTGAAACAATTAAAAATGTCTAGTGGGCAACAGTTTAAAAACCCTACAAAGTAGTGTACCACACACTTATAAATAGGATCTGGGTATATGTTCCTATTTTTAACCACTTTGCAGTTACTTCCCAGATACATAAAGTGAAAATAAAAAAGAACTCAAATTGGGTGCCAGTGGCTCATACCTGTAATCCTACTCAGGAGGCTAAATTCTGAGGATTAAGGTTCAAAGCCCGTTGGGACAGAAGAGCCTGTCTCCAGTTAATCAGCAAAATATGAAACTCAAGAGGTAAGCCAGCCATGGGGGAGGGGTGTTTGCAAATGAGAGCCAAGTCTTGAGTGCAAGCCCCAAAACGACCTTCCTCTCCCTGAAAAAAGAACTGAAGAATTTATGTGTGGTATGTTACTTATCAAAGAAAGGGGAAGGATACAAACGTACAGACAGGCATTTGCTTCTATTTTTTCTTTTAAAAAGTATTTTCTTGGGGCTGGGAAGGTGGCTCAGTGGTCAAGTGCTTGCCTTGCATGCCTTGCCTGGGTTCAATTCCTCAGCACCACATACGCAGAAAAAGCCGGAAGTGGCGCTGTGGCTCAAATGGTAGAGTGCTAGCCTTGAGCTGAAGAGCTGAGGGACAGCGCCCAGGCCCAGAGTGCAGAGTTCAGGCCTCACAGCTAAAAAAACAAGTATTTTCTTATTGTATTGAAGCAGGATCTCAAAATGTAAGCCAAGATGTAAACCATATATGTAAGCCAATGTATGTGTGAATCAGACTGACCTTGACCTTGTGATCCACCTGTCTCCCAAAATGCTGCATTACTAAAGTATGTGCACTACCGGATTTAGCCTATTTTTTTGTTTTGGTCGGCTGGCTTGAACTCAGGACCTGGGCACTTTTTGAGGCTCCTTTTACTCAAGGCTAGCCCTCTACCACTTGAGCCACAGTCCCATTTACAATTTTCTGGTGGCTAATTGGAGATAAGTCTATGGACCTTCCTGCCGGGGCTGACTTCGAACCCTGATCCTCAGATCTCAGCCTCCTGAGTGGCTAGGATTACAGGTGTGAGCCACTGGGGCCTGGCTTAGTTTTGTTTTTAATGGAAGAATCCAGAAAAGGTTATCTCCTACATAAGGTAAGAAAGAGGAAAAAGTGAAAACAACAGAATTTCAAGTTAGATTTATATTTGTATATTTTGACTATGAAACTACTGTTTTAGATAAATTAAAAACAAACTAGAAAGTTATGGAGGGGGTCAACACATTCAATTCCTAAAACTCGAGCACAAAATGAAATCACTGGGAGAAAATGAAGTGACACTTAAAAAAGAAATGTACTCCTGGGGCTGGGAAGGTGGCTCAGTGGTAGAGTTTTGTATGCATGAGGCCCTGGGTTTGATTCCTCAGCACCACATAAGCAGAAAAAGCTGTAAATGGTGTTGTGGCTCAAGTGGTCTATAGAGTGCTAGCCTTGAACTGAAGAGCTGAGGGACAGCACCCAAGCCCAGAGTTCAGGCCCATGACCGGAAGGAGAAAAAAAAAAGAAAGAAATGTACTCATTACCTGACTTATGTAACTGTAACCTCTCTGTACATCACAATAAAAAATACATCAAGTGGGCGCCGGTGGCTCGTGTATGTAATCCTAGCTACTCAGGAGGCTAAGATCTGAGGATCGTGGTTCAAAAGCCAGCTCAGACAAGAAAGACCATGAGACTCCTATCTCCAAACCACGAAAACACTGAAGGGGTGCTGTGGCTTAAACAGTATAGAGCTTGCCTTGAGCTGAAGAGCTGTGGGATATTGCCTAAACCCAGAGTTCAAGCCCCACAACCCACCAAAAACAAAAAACCAACAACAAAAAAAGACATCAACTTAAAGGCATAACTAAACAAATGATTCCAAATACCTTGAAATTAGTCATCTAAGTTGAAAACAAAAACTTTTCAGAGGCAGTATTTTTATATGAATAAAACGTGTTATTTGCATAATAAATATGTAAAATAAGACATATGAGTAATTATGTTCATGCCATTAGGAATTTCTGGCAGCCAGGCAGCATGGTTCATACCTATAATCCTAGCTACTCAGGAGGCTGAGACCTTAACATTATGGTTCAAAGACAGACCTGGACTTCTTTCAGACTCTCTAATTAGCCACCAAAAAGCCAGAAATAAGAGATGTGATTCAAATAGTGAAGCCTAAGCCTTCAGTAAAAGAGTTCAGGGACTTAAAATTCAGGCTCTTAAAGCCCAAAACCCCTAAAACAAAACAAAAAACAACCAACCAACCTACCAACCAACCAAAAAATTCACTGGTTTTCATCCCCTAATAAAACATAAGCATGGGGCTGGGAAGGTGGCTCAGTGGTAGAGCGCTTTCCTTGCATGCATGAGGCCCTGGGTTCGATTCCTCAGCACCACATAAGCAAAAGAAGCCAGAAGTGACGCTGTGGCTCAAGTGGTAGAGTGCTAGCCTTGAGCTCAAGAGTTGAGGGACAGCGCCCAGGCCCAGAGTTCAGGCCCCATGACCTCCCCCCCAAATAAGCAAAAATAATCAATAGTAGCTTATGAGAGAGAGAACATGAAATAACTATGTAGCACATCATTATCAGATAAAACTTTTTTTTTCTTTTTGTAGAGAGTAAATCCAAGGTCTCAAGTGTCCTACTACTTGTGCTACACATATCCCAGCAATCCTTAAAATACTGTTTATTTACTGAACACTTACTGGATACTACGTATACAAAAAAAAAAAGTAGAGTAGAGGAAAGGGGCCTGATAAGAACTGAAGAGGAAAAATTACACTAAGCTTATAAATTCTAGAAGTACAAAATTTCTTCCAGTTTTACTGTATAATGAAACTTGCTTGCCAAAAGGAAAACAAGCCATATAGTCTAATAAAAATGATGCATAACATCATGGAATTCCCGAAAATGGCTTATAAAATGCCTGTAGGGCCAGGTGTGGTAGTACACACCTATAATGCAAGCTACTACTCAAGAGACTGAGATGTGAGGATCATGTTTGAAGCTGGCTTGGGGCAGAAATTCACAAGACTCTTATTAACCACAGAAAAGCTGTTTTTTGGGTCCGGTTGTGGGGCCTGAACTCTGGGCCTAGACGCTGTCCCTCAGCTCTTCAGCTCAAGGCTAGCGCTCTACCACTTGAGCCACAGGGCCACTTCCGGCTTTTTTTCTTCTTTTTTCTTTTTTGCTTATGTGGTGCTGAGGAATCGAACCCAGGGCCTCATGCATGCAAGGCAAGTGCTCTACCACTGAGCCACCTTCCCAGCTCCAACAGAAAAGCTGTTAAGTGGAGGTTTGCTCAAGCATTAGCCTTTAATGAAAAAGCCTCATAAGAGCATGAGGTCCTGAGTTCAAGCCCCAGTACCAGCACACATACAAAAAAATTGCTTGAATGGTATAAATAATTTAACTCCACTGGTGGTCAACTGCCTAGCTATACAGTTCCTTTTAAGAAACATCATAGCATTTGCATTAATTAAGTCCATTTCTTCATTAAAGTCCTCTGTTTTCTCATTTTTTTGGTTGGTTGTGGAGCTTGAACTCTGCACCTCGGCGATGTCCCTCAGCTTTTCAACTCAAGGCGAGCATTTTACCACTTGAGCCACAGTGCCACTTCTGGTTTTCTGGTGGCTTATTGGATATTAAGTCTTATGGACTTTCTTGTCTGGGCTGGCTTTGAATTGTGATCCTCAGATTTTCATCCTCCTTAGTAGCTAGGATTTCAGGCATGAGCCACCAGTGCCCGGACTGTTTTCTGTTTTATCTGGTTATCTTCAAGTTTCCTATCTTTATCTGTTAAGCAATTTAGTTTTCACGACTTGTTTTTAATCTTTTTCTAGGCTTGACAATTTCAAAGCTTGCTTTTTTCTTGTCAGTTTCTAATTGTTCTCTAGTTTTGCTCTCAAGTTCTACAAATGTTGTTTCATGCTCACAGGCTCCTCTGTTAGCTGAGGAGATGTTATTCTATCACTTCTGCTGGCTCTTGAAATACCATTTTATCACAGAACTCTGAAACTACTGTCTTTCCCCCCAACATTATATTGATGTCTGAGTCAAACAGCTGCTTTGTTTTTAGGTGTCAAAACTGGGGCCTTGAGTTCTTGCTCAGCTTTACTTGCTCAAGTTTGAACTCTACCACACGAACCCTACCTCCAATCTGGCATTTTGCTGGTTAACTGGAGGTAAGAATTAATCTCAGGGGCTGGGAAGGTGGCTCAGTGGTAGAGCGCTTGCCTTGCATGCCTGAGGCCCTGGGTTTGATTCCTCAGCACCACATAAGCAAAAGAGAAAAAGCCGGAAGTGGCCTGTGGCTCAAGTGGTAGAGCGCTAGCCTTGAGCTGAAGAGCTGAGGGACAGTGCCCATGTTCGGACCCCCCCCCAAAAAAAAATTAATCTCAGAAATTTGTCTACCTGGGAAAGCTTCAAACTGTGACCCTGAGATCTCAGCCCCCCCCCGCCACCCCCACCCCGTCTTTTCTGCCAGTGCTGGGGCTTGAACTCAGGGCGTAGGTACTGTTCCTGAACTTCTTTTGCTCAAGGCCAGCACTCTACCATTTGAGCCATAGTGCCACTTTTGGAATTTTCTGTTTATGTGGTACTGGGGAATCGAACTCAGGCCTTCATGCATGCTAAGCAAGCACTCTACCACTAAGCCACATTCCCAGTCCCACTATTTTTTTTAAACAAAAACAAATCCAACATTTTATATCATATTTTATTTTTGTGTGTGTTGGTACTGGGGCTTGAACTCAGGACCTCATATTCTCACTCAGCTTCTTTACTCAAGACTTAACACCTGAGCCACACCTACACTATGGCTTTTAAAAAATAATTGTTTTATTGTTATCATAAAGGTAATGTACAGAGGGTTACACTTATAGCTTTTTGCTGATTAACTGGAGATAAGAGTCTCCTGAAATTTTCTGCTAGAGCTGGCTTGTAATCTCCCTGGTGCCAGGGAGAGACTCTGAAACTTGAATCTGATCATGCCTCTAGATCACCAATTAACTCTTCAAAAGTAGAATTATAAATGAACATGTTAAATGACATTTCTGTCCTGTGAGGAATGCAGTCCTGTACAGGATATACAACCCAATTTACTTATGTAATAAATCACAAGGAGAAAGAGAGAGAAACTTAAGACATCATGTGAGCTTTATCTGAGTTCAAACCCCAGTACAGACAAAAAATAAAAACAAGTAATGAATGAACACATTCTATTTGGGTCCTGATCTTCACAAACTGTTTTTTTTTTTTTTAATTTAAAAAAAATTTTTGGAGTGAATTTGAAACAAACCAGAAATTTGGTGATATTAAGGAACTGTTAGTATTTTTAGGTTGATAATGGTATTGTGGTGGATGAAATGCCAGGCTATTAGGATAATCTGCAAAGTAGTATCAAAGGACTGGAGGAGGGAATAGAATAAAACTCGCTTTAAGTTGATACTTGCTGAAGCTGGTCATGGGTTCATTATATCATTCTACTTTTGTAAATGACACTTTCTGTAATAAGAGAGAGAAGGAAGGCAGGAATGAAGATTTATAGCTAAACCTTGGTGATTTAACCGGTTAATTAGGAGGGAGGCTTTTCTGGTGGTTCTGCTTAGAGGAAAGCTCCAGCCCCGTAATTAAGGACCCTTTCTTTTTTTCCCTTGCACCCTAGTCCCAAGGAGTGAGACATACCGCAAAGATGAGTGAAATGTCAGTGGTTAGGGCCTGCACACGGTGGAAGGAAGCAATAAGAGTGATGGGAAGGAAACCATCAGCATCCATTTTCCGTCTCAGGAAGAAGTCTCGCTCTAAATTGTCCACGCTGAAGTAGTATTCACTATGTGAAGGGGAGAAGAGGTGTCACTGAGGGACCGTTGATGCTTTCTTTGTCAGCTATCTACCCCAGCAATCTCATAGCCTTTCACCTGCAGTCCCGCAAAGGACTACACAGAAGATGGTATCCCTTTTATTACTCCCCTACTTGGGTCAAATTACTTCTGCTCAGTCTTTGGGCATGATGAGTAAATCCTTTATCCTTTAAAATCCAGACCCCATGTTGTTGGCCACTTTCTCTTCTAAAACACAATTCTGCATTACAATGATATATTTTTCCTTGGCTCTTCCTTTCAACTATGAAAGTTATTGGAGTGACTTAGAGCACAGCTTTTGCAATGAGAAAAGAAATGGACTCAAATCTCTGTTTTGTTACTTCCTAGCTGTGAGACTCTGGGAAAGTTACTGAGCCTGTTTGCTTGACTATAAAATGGGGACGAAAGACCCAGCATGTAGGAATTCTGCAGTTAAAAACTACAGGATTAAACATGATAATGCCTGTAAAGCCCTGAAAGTGGCCAATAGTGAGGACTCAGTAAATGTTTGCTAGCATTCAGACAATGCTGTCATCACAATTGGAGCACAGAAAGGAGTAGATTCCAGTCATTTCCCCTCTGTAGTGGTAGTTTCTAATTTAAGTAAATATGGTTTTATTTCTGTCACCAACAAAAATTATAAAAAGTTAGCTGGAACTAAGACGAGTTGCCTGTGATTTTTGGCAGTTGCCACCAAGGAGTACAACTACTGCTAGCATGAAAAGATCCTGTACAGCCCCTTCCACTACCAGCTACGGCCCTCTGACAGCCTTTAAGATCTCATTAACGCTTAGGAAGCTTCTGGATACTCACATCTGGCGTTTGATGTAGTCTTTGAGTAACTCCTGGTCCACACTGTAAAGCTCAGTACTACTGACATTGTCAAAGTAGTAGGTGATGTTGTTCATGTACTTGGGGGTACGAGGCCCCTCAGTACCATCAAATTTTCGGTAGCCAAACTGGTAGTCAAAATGGGCTATGGGAAGAAATGGGTGTTGTAAGAGAGAGAAGACCTCTGCCCACTACCCCCTGCCACACTCCCTCAGATATCCCGGAGCCCAAAGGGGCCTCACGTACTTCGAGTGCCACCCCGTCCACGTCCCCGTCCACGACCACGCCCCCGTCCACGGCCACGGAAGGAAGCCCGCGCCCCACCAGCCCCATCACTCTTCACACTCGATGTCTCATCCTGGTCGTGCCAGGCAGGCTCCGGTTTGGTCTCTGGTTGCCAGGCTGGGGTGGGGGGGGCCACAGACACAGGCATGTAGGTGGCAGGCTCAGACCCTATAGGGAAAGGGGGCACTGGGTCAGGCCTGAGGGTATCCCCATGTTCAGACCCTCCACAGTGCGCAGTACATACCTTTCATCTCCCCACGGTTAGCAGATGTGTGTCTCGGCTCCTGTGGGCGAGTGGGGCGCGAGGCCAATTTCTCTCTGGGTACTTCAGGCTTCATGTCTATTTGCAATGGAACCCACTTGTGTTTGTTCCCTGGGGATGGTACGGGCACATGAGAAAGGCTTCCAAGAGGCCTAACCCACCTAATTAATCTATTTTCCTGGACTTGGGCACAAATTCCAGTTCGGGGATCCTGGGCAAATTTCTTTCCTTCATACTGGACCCCCTTTTTCATCTCTAAAATAAAAAAAGGCCAGTGGTCCTCGGTGTGATGGAGATTCCTAGTTGACTTCAATACTGATTTCTTCTCAGTCAAAAATCATCTTCTGGGGCCAAACACATGGCTGCTCAAAACAAATACTTTCTAAACTCCTAAGTTTTTGTTTGTTTGGTTTTTTTTTTTTGGTTGGTCATAGGGCCTGAACTCTGGGTCTGGGCGCTGTTCCTCAGCTCTTCAGCTCAAGGCTAGCACTCTACCACTTGAGCCACAGTGCCATTTCTGGCTTTTTCTGCTTATGTGGTGCTGAGGAATCAAACCCAGCGCCTCATGCATGCAAGGCAAGCACTCTACCACTGAGCCACCTTGCCAGCTCATAAGAGTTCTCTTAAAGCTCTCTCTGCTTAAGAGAGAAAGTGAGGCCCAATCTAGGTGGAGGGCCTAAAAGGAAAAGAGCTACCCTTCCTGCTACCTATAGTGAGCAGGAAATAGGGAGCCATCCCGAATGCTAAAAAGGCCAACACTGAAGGCAAGATGAAAGGAATTAGAATTGCTACATAAAGCCCAGCTATTCTATGAGAAGTATGCATACTTCATTTAAATCACTTATGGTACATCTTTAATAATGGGGCAGCCAAACCTGTATCCCTATCATTTTGGCAAGTTTCTAGAAACTCCTAGAGTAATATAAACCTTGTTTTTAAGAGCAGCTGATGAACTGATGAGAAAGACAACTGCTGTCCCCCCACAGTGGCCTACAGCAACCAGCTACCCATTTCCTGGAAGAACCCTCCAGCAGCCCTCCGGAGTTGACACTTCACAGTTCTCCCAAGTCCTACTCACCTTTCTTCTTCTGTCCACCTCGCTGGCAGTCTTCATCCCCATTCTTTTCCTCTCCTGATTCGTCTGACTTGGTTTTGGGGCTCTCCTTACTATCGCTCCCCTCTCCTTTCTCCTGTTCTTTCATGTCCTTCTTTGGAGGCAGCTTACGAGTCGGCTGAGGTTTGTGGGTCTGTGGCTACAGCAAGAAGACAAATGGAGTGGGTGTGTGAAGCCACTTGGGACAGAAGGGAGGGAGGTAGGAAGTAGGAAGACAGGCACAAAAGTTCCAGCATGTGATGAAAAACTCCCTTTTTCCATGTGATTCTCTTACAGGAAGCACAATCACACAGGCTAAGATAAACTTGTCTCTCCAGCAAACACCTGGGGCCCAATGTTACTCTCTACAACAAGGATTATTACTACTGTGTTATATTCATAGTCAGTGGGATGGAAGAAATGCTGGCCCTGGCCTGTCTGTACCATCTCTAAAATAAGGATTTCACTAATGAAGTGGCCAGTCAGCGAACAAAGGATTCAGGCCACCAGCTCAGAACAAAAGTACTGAAATGAGAACTGATCAGGCCCCTCTCTGATGGGGTCCAAGAGAGCTGTTTAAGCTATAGGTCTGTTCTCAGGCTAATATCCACCTTTTTATTTCACTAGAAATCTAAGTGCTTTGATGAAGAACTACAACACACTTAAGTTCCAATCTGCATTGAGCCAGCAAGGGCTAGTCTCATCTGTGAAAAAACTGTTATAAAAGGACCCATTTCTGAGTCACTGATAGGGTGAAAAGAGATAATAACTAGATGGTACTTGGCAGTCCCTGACACAAACACAGGGTAATTCCTAGCCATTTTACTATTGCTTCAATGTTGCCTGATTGTATTCATAACTGCCCCCCCCTTTTTTGGTCATGGGGCCTGAGCACTGTCCCTGAGCTCTTCAGCTCAAGGCTAGTGCTCTACCACTTGAGCCACAGCGCCACTGTGCTGAGGAATTCAACCACAGGCCTCATGCACGCAAGGCAAGCACTCTACCACTGAGCCACCTTCCCAGCCCTCCACCCGCATTTTTTGAGATAGGTTTCACTTTGTTGCTCAGGGTCTCCAATTGCCCCCCCCTTAAAAACAACAACATAGCTAAGATCAAATACACTAGAAGCCTCCAAATGCAAATGTGTTTATGTTGACTGAGTTCGTGTCTACCCACACTCACCTGCACACTTTTGTGGGCTATCTCTCCAGGTGTGGGCCAGTTGATTGCATCTCCAAAGTCACCGACCTGTAAGGCACGTTCTATGAAGGCCCCAGGGGAATCCTGCTTCCCATCTTCAGCCCCTCCCTCACACAAGGACCATTTCTACTGAGCCGGGATGCCCACTAGCACCATCCACACACTACAACCCAGAAAGGGCCTTCCCTGCTGTTCAGAAAATCGAGCAGCCCAGCAGCAGTCACTAACACAGGAAGAGGGTACCACCCCAGTAAGTCTACAGGGGCTGCCCAGCTGTCATCCTCACTTACCTTGCTGCCTTTGCGTTGCTTGGGAGCCGCAGCCCTTACCACCTTGGCTGGAGCAGAATGCTCTGTGGTAAGAAAGGAAAGAAGAAATGACTGCAGAGTCTATGAGCAGAACCACCTCCAGCCAGGTCCTCACCCTCATCCTATCAAACAACCTACAGGTTCTCAGAAGAGGAAAACATCAGTAGTGATTTTGACATCTCCTTCCTGAAGGAACTATGGAAAGTGACATACAAAACCCTAAGATCAGGCGGCGGGGGGG